TTCCTGTCAGAACACGTGAACGGCAGTGTGATCGCGCCAAACAACCGCCTCCCTACCATAGCACGAGCTTCGTTTACTTTTGACAGAAGTGTCTTACCAAAGTAAAACGTGTAAATTAACAGAAACTGGCAAAAAAAACAGCGAAGATGCAGAATGCCCTCCCCCGTCTCGCCTCTTCTGGGCCAAACAGCAACTTGTAGCTCTATGTGAAGTCAAATGGGTGGCCCCCCTTGAGAAGGGATTAGCTGGTCCCCAGTCGGTTGTCTATTTTGTACAGCTAGGAATTTTCAGGAATGCTACCTCAAGATTTCATGCATACAATTGACAACGTGGGTTGTTCAATGGAATCGTATGAATTATTTCATCCCAGTTTGGAGCCTTCATTTTGAAAAATTCCAGCTAAATCTCACCGAAAAAGGCGAACTGTTGAGTTTTATGACGGACTGGTACAATGGAAGAATCAAGAAGCCGGAAAACAAAGCAGAAATTGTGGAACTACTTCAGGAGAAACTACCAACGGTTAGCAACCCATTCTAGCCCAGTTGTTCTAGTAACCCATCTCATTACTCAAAAAGGAGCCATAAAACTTCGTTCAGGTATATGACAAGATCCACTACCTGAATACGACTTTTTACACGAAGTTCCAGAAATTGAAGCCAGAGACCCAAGATTTACTACGCTCGGTAAGCATTTGCACCAAAGGCATAAACGTTTCCATTGTGTCCATGTCTACCAATCTCTTTATCTCGTAATTAAATGTATCGTCTTTATCGGGGGGGGGGGGGGTGGAGGACAGGCAGTCCCAGCGACGGCTGCTCATTCCACTGCCCTCTCTGCTTTAATGCATACACGAATTTCTGTGTCGCCTAGATCCTGAGCTCTCGCAGCCACCCCTCTCGTTGCTTCAAGACATGAAGTGTTCATTCCGCGCTCATGATACGAGTGAAGTCGCTTGTGCGCTGTGCGTCCGTTGCATTGGTGACCCTCCTCCTAGAATGAAAAAGAAGACGGAATGGGGAAAAAAGGGGAGGAGCGCATCAGTGGGGGGAAAACTAGAGGTTCAAGAAACCACACCCAAACACTAGCACCGAATGTGCCTTCGAGGTGGTGAATCGTAATGAATGTAAACAAGGCAATATTGACTAGATACAAACTGTAAAATTCGATCCGTCTGATCTGTTCCGTTGAAAGAGCGCTGTTCGGCTCCGGGGAGAAGGGGATTTCGCACTTTCATTAGGTGCGTTTGCAAGCTCATGTTAACTAACAGGACTCACTAGGGTGAGCTTGTGAACCCTTGTGAAGCTGCAGTATGGTGCAACTGAGCCACTTTGGTTGCAGAGCTTCAGGTCTTTATGAAGTGGCCTGTAGAAGCTTTGCTGGGTACCATTTGGTGCCCCCACCAAGATGAATGCGCCTTTCATAGTTCTATAGAAACTTCGCAACTATGCTCAGTAGGGAGGCCATTGTTCGAAGGTACCGAACAACTCTCACTCCAACAGCCTCAGGAAATCGAATCTGCTTAGGCCTACTGACCTTCAGTTCCTCCTTCCAGCAAAGTTCAGTCAATTGTAAACAGATTTGTTTTGACCAAAGGGCGAAAACATTGCTCGGAACAACTGCTTTTAAGATATCCCAAGTCCAAATAGTTCTCAGGCACTTATTGCATTACATTATGGGACGAAACCAATGCATAAGGCATAGCAAAAAAAAACTGAACAAGGGCACATTTCGCCATAAGCGGATAGGCGGAGACAGGGAGCCATTGCGCCCTCCTCATCGTGCGCCGCTTATTCTGAGGCGGAGAGGAGGAGCTCAGCCAACATGCCAGCAGGGTAGTCCTCCGTCTCCGTCGATGTGGATTCGCGCGGAATGTCCTTCTATCGCCGAGCCCTTCACCATCTTTTTTAAACGCCTCTAGATAGACTTTCTCAAAGCAACAATTCAGTTCTGACCAGTCATTTCAGTGGCGAGACAAAGCGGTCTCATTGGAAGGCGATACCCCTGCTGAATCGGTGGCGAAGAGGCTGCAGCTGCTCAGAGATGTCGCTTTATCCGTGCAAACGATGAACAACGAAACCAAAGAAGATATACGGTCGCAGTTCCCAACAGCTGTGAACTTAACTGAAGGTGAGACGACGCAAAGGCGTAAGGCACGATAATTTAGTACTTGCTCAACAATGATAGCAGGGGCGTTATACAATGGGGAAAATCGCGATAAAACGAGGTCAAACGACCAAAATCTGCGAAAAAACTATGTTCTTCACAGCGTTGGACGAGGAGGGTTTTGGGAGGGTTTCCCATGGGCATCGCGCCAACAATCGCTTTCAGTGTTACTACGGTCATTTGTAGGCGGGCGGTTATAGTACGTGCGGGTCGGCATGGTGCATCTTGGCTAGGCCTTATAACGGGCCCTTGGTTGGAAAAGGCGTCACGCAGCGCCTGCTAAAGGAAACAATATTCTTTCGTGCTAAGCGTATCGACCCTATGAGCCCTGTTGATTTATCGTGCCACTTGCCTTTGAACGTGCCGAGAACACGACAAGGTTGGAGCAAAAAGTTATTCACACGCTCATCCGAAGATGAATAGGGTCGGCTCTTGCTGAATCACGGGGCTATTGGAGAATAGTGTTTTTTTTCAGGATTCGGCTTCACCGTACTCACCACACTTGCAATGATCGCGCAGAAGCTCATGGAATCTTTCAGTGCGGTTGTTGGTGCCGTCACTGGTGCACCTCAGGAGTGCCCCATACCCGCCAGCTGATCGTCGAATAAACATCCTTCAAGAAGACCCATAATAGAATTTTCCAATAGAATCATATGTAATTCACAACAATGCATTGAATAACAGTGATATGA